TTAGGGAAGGGAGGGAAACAGGTCCGAGACGTAGGAAGTGGTGAAGGAAGTAGTCAAGGCGAGCTGTCCGGAGTGTGGGAACTGTTTTGACGATTAGATTAAGGTATATACAATCTTAAAATTCTATGGGATAAGAGGGAAGGTCCACGACGTAAGAAGAGGTGAAGGAAGTAGTAAGGTGAGCAGTGTGGAGTGTGGGAACTGGAAACCGTTTGTAGCAGTTAGATTAATGTATCTGCAATGCTGAAATGCTATGAGAAGGGATGGAATCATGCCCACGACATAGAAAATGATGAAAGTAGTAGTAAAGGCTAGCAGTGCGGAGTGTTGGAAATGTTTGTGGCAATTAGATTAACGTATCTAAAATACTAAAATGCTATGGAAAGTGATAAAAACAGGTCCACGCTGTAGGAAGTGGCTTAGGAAGTAGTAAAGTATGAGCATAGTGTGAGAGCCGTCTGTAGCAGTTATATTAATGTATCTTCAATCCTAAAATGCTATGAGAAGGGAAGGAAACAGGCCCCATGACGTAGGAAGTGGCGAAGCACAGTTGGCTGTGGGTGAAGGTAGTAGTCAAAGCTGGCAGTGCAGAGTGGGGGAACCGTTTGGGCATTTAGATAAATGTACCTAATACTTAAATGCTATGAGAAGGGAAGGAAACAGGTCTATGACGTAGGCAATGGTTAAGGAAGTAGTAAGGCTTGCAGTGCAGAGTGTGGGAACTGTCTTTGGCAATTACATTAATGCATCTGCAATCCTAAAATGCTATGAGAAGGGAAGGAAACAGGTCTATGACGTAGGCAATGGTGAAGGAAGTAGTAAGGCTTGCAGTGCAGAGTGTGGGAACTGTCTTTGGCAATTTCATTAATGTATCTTCAATCCTAAAATGCTATGAGAAGGGAAGGAAACAGGTCTATGACGTAGGCAATGGGGAAGGAAGTAGTAAGGCTTGCAGTGCAGAGTGTGGGAACTGTCTTTGGCAATTACATTAATGACATAGGGGGTGGTGAAGGAAGTAGTAAAGGTGAGCAGTGTTGAGTGTGGGAATGGATTAATGTATCTGCAATGCTAAAATACTATGGGAAGAGACTGTAGACTGTAGGTTAAAATGATTACGAAGCACGAATCAATACATATTTCGATACATGCAACCGTTTACAATAGAAATTTACAACTGAGTTGACAACAGCTGATTTTTACTCCATAGAAGCTAAAAACGATGTTTACTCTATAGAGGCTAAAAACGATTTTTACTCCCTAAAGAGTAAAAATGCTACTTTAGACCCGCAACGCATGCATTAAAAACGACTGTTTTACTGCAGTATGATAAAAACAATATAATAAGAACCCCTTGATGGCTCCGCTCAATTTTGTGGATGCCTCTGCGAACGCCACCTAGTATAGTCATCCTCTAAAATGGCTGCTAAGATCAATTACAAAGCTAACAAGGTTATTCTTAATGAATCAAAACAATATCAATCGATAAAACAAAATTTTATTTACATACATAACAGGAAATAAAATTCTCTAAAATTTACAACATACTTTAAACACTGGATAAATTTTAACAAAAATAAAACCACATCTATAATACACTTATAACTAGTTTTCAATAAAATACGTGTACTGTTCTAAGGCACAGGTGATTACAAAATAATACCGTGACACTAACCTCATAATACTTGAAAACGTGACATTGATATTGTGAAAAACTTTCAAACACGATTTATGTGATTCATTTCAACAAGGGATTAAAATTTTTGAACGTTATATACGTTTGTTCACACACCAACTTCACAAGTGCGATAAAATACATGAGATTTACACCACAAGTCAAATTTAAACGTCACTTTTGACATGAAACAAATTGACAACATTTAGTGACATCCATCACGACGAATGAAAGTGTTACATTCAAAAATGTTTAAACAATATAGAACCAACATTTTATTACATTGTTTTGTCAATGGACATACAAATATTTTACAAATTGAATCTTTACCTGGCCTCTAAAAATACTTATTTTTGGTTGAAATCACATGGTAACGGTAAAATATTATAATAACGGTTCATGGATTCATAGGTTGGACCCAAATTTCTTTAGTCAACACCTCTCAGTCTTAAATTCTAATACAGTAAAATATTTATGTAAGCCTATAATGGTAATATGTGTAAATCAGAAACAACTTAAAATTTTGCCCAGGGTATGATTTTAAAATTTTAATATATCTGGCTTAGATAAACATTTTCTACCGTTGTAATGTTTTTTCACACTACAAAAATATTCGACACTAACAGTTTTTGTGTTAATCAAAAGTCAATAATGATCTTTTGTCGGGAATTAATTATATTAACTACTGTGTAAATTCACAACTTGGTATTTTGTATTAAAAAAAATAGGAAAACATTTATTAAGTGTGAATACTACAGGAATGTGTTCAGGAATGTTAAGAATGAGCTTGCAAACTTTATAATTTTAAACATCAAAACATAAACTACTTGAATTGAAGGAAATAATTATAAATCATTCAATTAATTAAAGAAGCATCAAGTTGAGAAAATGGAAAATTTGGTTTTTTGACTTGAATACATGTAAGGTTACAACATTTTCAAAATTAGCTGTTTTCCCAATGGTGAAGATAAATATTAAAACTACTGCATGCACATTTCCGTTATAAGGCCATGACAATCAGTAAAGAATTGGTAACAATTAACTATCAGGATGGGCCATGAAAAAAGGCATCATGTGATAAAAATCTCGTAAAAATACTATACCCGGAATATTATACGCAAAAGATTTACATACAGCTCTTTCAAGGCCACAAAATATTTTTAGGTGGAAATCTCAAATTTTAAGTAGACAAAATCAGTCTTCACTGATGAATACTGAAGGTTAGAATCTCGTGTAGACTATGTGCAAAGCCCCCCAAACACAATAATCACAAAAAGATAAATACAAAACATTCTTCAAACTTATGGTGGTAACATGTCTAGATGTATATAAACAATCTTAGGAAACAATAAGAAACTAGCTCTAAAAGTGAGAAAGCAATCGCAAACTGTGTACATATAAAACTATCTTCGGGATAATACATATGTACATTCCATTTACAAGGCTGACTTAAATCATACCTGTTACAAAAGTATAAACTTAACAAATACAAGGTTATTCTGCTTAAAAATACTTAAAAGAAATACAGTGGGTAGGAATGATCTATCATGCGGAAAACAATCAAAATCAACAATTCAAAGTATCACAATAAATATAACAATCGTAAAACTCAACAAATTTAATTCACTTATAAAACCCAAAAGTTAAAAAATATTTTTATATCTGTACATTTATTTAAATATCCCTCACAACTTAAAAATCTCCTTTTCAACAACAAATCTTAACAAAACCTAAATTAATTATTGTACGAATAGTTAAATTAACATGAACTTAAAACGAATATATTTGGGTCTACTGGCACTGAAAAGTTTGATTTCCCAATCAAGAAACTGAAATAATAAGTTAGGAATTAGAATTGCTTTAGAAAAGATGCATTCCATTCTCAATATAACTCTAGTTTTAATATATTTTTAAATTTAAATACTAATAAATTCTAATTATTGGGATTTTACTGGACAGTCAATGTGTTCTTGCTTTTATAAGCTATATTAAAATCTTTATGCTATGAAATTGATAAAATGCTAATAATAAAGTAAAGTTTGCTAATTTAAAAACGTATTGATAATCACTTGTGTGAATTATGCATATCTTGTCAGCTACTTCTGTGTTATTTGCTTATGAAAAGCCAAATATTGAAAATGGATGCATCTCTTGTTGGCGGAAGACAGAAAATGAATGAGTCAAGGAATGAGATCAACGGGTAACAAAACTTAGGCTTCATGACTAGTAAAGATGTTCTGACGGTTAAGTACATTGTCCTGCAAGTAGTAGTAATTAAAATAACTGAACCGTATAATGAAAAATATGTGGGCTAAACTTAAGTACATTATACGTACCTCAATATTACATTCACACATACATTCTACAGTGTGGTAGAAAAGTCCCGGAACGGTTGTATATATTTGTTACCAATATAGATGAATTAATGATACTTGGTATATAAATAATAGCTATAAATGTCTACTGTTTCAAGCTATTATCACTTTTTTATGCCTTAAGGGACGCCCTTGAGGAGTCAGACAAAATTCTTAAATAGCAGCATAGGTCGAGTTTGGTATCTAATTAAAGGTCTTAGTAGAATACATTGCCGCAAACCCGAACTCAAACGGACAATTGAGTCAAAAATGGCAGCTGTTAAACTATTTCATGAATCTGCCATTTTGAATCTTTGAGCAGCTGTATTTTTTTACTCAGTTGTTCTATTGAGCTCAAATTTGCAATATTGTATTCTACTACATAAGACCTTTAATTTGATGTGCATGTCGACATATGTTTACATTAATGATTTTCTTCCAAATTCTCACGGTTGCCCCTTGAGGAGGTAGCGTAGAATAGCAATGCAAATTCAATGAATCCTTGAACATCTGTCATTTTTGACTTAGTTGTCCTTTTGAGTTCAGGTTTGCGGCAATGTATCCTACTAACTAAGACTTTTAATTAGATACCAAACTCGACCTATGCTGCTGTTTAAGAATTTTGTCTGACTCCTCGTGGGCCGTCCCCCTTAAGACATAAAAAAGTGATAATAGCTTAAAACAGTATACATTTAAAGCTATTATTTATATACCAAGTATCATTACTTTATCTATATTGGTAACAAATATATTTAATTTAACCATTCCGGGACTTTACTACCACACTGTATATGTTCAAACTATAATCAACAGATAAAGGATATTGTTTTTGTTTGACATAACATGCGACTAAATATACTCTTTTCTATGAAAATACTATAAATTATATAACCTAGAAAACTAAAATAAATCAATTCTCTACGATAACATAAAATAGACTATAAACAACAAACATTTGAACAAAATGTTTAGAATATTCATACATGCAAGCAAGCTTTAAATTGTAACACACCTTAATAAAGATATAAACAAATTAAAACATTGTCTTTCCTTGACTTAGATGAGTAATTCATCTCCGAACCAGGCACACTTAATATACAAATTGCACTAACCGGCAAATATTTTGGTTTCTAAGTGAGGAACGATTGTACATTATCACACAAATACATACTGGTAAAATGTATACGCCGAGATATCTCTTAAAAATATACAAACGTAAACATTTTCTAATATATTATTTCTCATTTTGAAAACATAAATAAATCTGTACAATTGAGGCATCTTTTGGTAAGGCCTGATCTCAGGTGGATACTTCATGACTTTATGTGGTAATGTAATAAAATCTATAAAAAATATACATATTTACAAGACAGTCTAAAACACACGTATAAGCTATGATGTCGGATGAGCCAAACCTGCTTTATAAGCACACTTGTGGTAAACACAGTGATAACAAACGATAAAACTTTGTAACTGTACAAACAAGTCGAGGACTTTGGTCCCTTCAGCATTGAGCGTGTCTTTGGTTGGTCTGAGGAACTAGAATTACTGCATTTCAGTCGTCTCCTATCTTATCTCCTGACAAGACTGTATCTTCACTCAAATCTGAACTCCGTTCCTGAAAAATAATATCCTTTTGAACTTAAGTGTTGAGTAAAACCCTAAAAATTAGAAGATTTTTGTAATTTGTAAACTCTTTCTCTACACTTGAAAATGTCCTTCAGGGGACAAAATATTGTGTGCACAGTGTTTTTCTACATGTTCTATGACCTACCTACACTTTCAAGGTAAGCTAGCTCCTATCCTCCCTTTTCTACAATTCAAAATCCTGGCTTAGAGCCTTTCATTGAAAAAAACTAAAAATTAGAAGGTTTTTTTTACAAAACTTATTTTACACCTCTTGGACAAATTTGGAGGACATGCATCCGAGGTTGGGTGAACTCAATAAAATGGCCTGATGATGTTAAGACCAATTTCAGCCTAACTCCAAACTATTCTAACACATGGTCCTATAGAACAAACAGCCTCAGTCCTGTGGGGTTTCAGCTTCCTGGACTGAAACATCATGAAACTAACTAAAGACAGCCTTCCAGTAATCACACATTTTCAGCAATTTTTCTGCCAGAGTCCAGAACGTGCTGCTGTGTTGGATTAGCGATCAACTGTAATTTAATTTTACCGATACAACTAAAGGATGGGTTTTTCTAAACTAGACTAATGTGGGCTGCATTTCTCTAACAGCGGACACAGCACTAACCGGAAGGCTCCGCTTGGAGGAAGGGCCTCAAAGGAACTTTTTCCCTCTTGAAAAATGCAGTTCATATATAATCTGTTAGCGGATTCAATTTTTGAGCAGACCTTTTATTCTTGTCATTACCAAAAGCGTCTGCGAAGATTGCGCGATCGAAAACCACGAAAATGAGTGATGACAAATAAGTCTATGGCGACAATTGAGGTGATTTCACCACGATCTCAGGAGACAGTAAGTATGGCTCCTGAGATCATGCAAGATGATGACCATTTAGGAGATGATGTCTAGGTACTCAATTCTTTCGCGATCGCGGAAGATGTCCATAATTTCACCGCAACCGTAGGGGGCGCTCACGATTTGGTCCTGACCTAGGACGATTTAGTTAATATTTGATTTTGCATCATGTTTACAATTCTGCCATGAATGCAGTAGTTGTTTAACCCATTATAGTCCAGCAATTAATATGATTAAAAATCTACATTCCAAATCAAGCCGATTCAAACCAGACCTAATTTGGATTTTGGCTGGCCCGAAAATCAAAATCTTTGACCCTACCCTAAGTACAAAGGTTTGACCCGAGATCCCTAGCATTTTTAAGCCTATTAAAAATAAAACGGCATTGTTTGTAGCTTATCTCCAGCCTCATAAGTATATTCACCGGTCAGATAGTCGAAAACGAAGAGACGGGTTCTTGAGTATAACAAATGTATTTCGAAATCCCCTAAGCTCCAGCTACCCAAGAATGAGGAGAATAGAAGCCTCTGGTGTGAGCCGCCGGGCCTCATAGATTCTAACCTCCCCCTGCTGAATACTGACTGAATTGAATATGTGGATTACAATTTTATTAGAAGAAAGATAGGTTTATCTTTGTACAGGATGAGCTTAAACAATTCATAGGCTTGGTCTACATTTACAAATTGAAATATTTAGGTGTTAATGGCTTATTGTCAATAACTTTACAGAAATTACTAATGAAAAAAAAAACACTTCTATCAAACACAATGATTGGCAAAGTGACAAGATTCGAATTTGTGTGGATTGAGTGAAACTCATAAACATTTTCTTGTGTGTGATAAAATTCCTTGTCCCACACTAAATGATAACAGGTTGTAATTCATAAACTGGGTAGTAGAGTGTGAGAAGTGCTTTCAAAACTGAAGTGTTCCCCAAGTGCGACCGGTCTGAATCCAAAGGCCTTGTCAAACTAAGGTTGATTTCAGATAAAACCAAAGCACTCCCTTAAAAAAATGCTGAAAGCACAAAATAAAGGGATGGACTGTAAAGTAAAAGTAAATGTTAAATATATGATTACCCGCAGAACAGTGTGTAGTGGCGTGGTGTCGTGGTAGACATGTGTGTAGCCGGGTTGGTTGGGTCTCCACTGCAAAGCCCTCAGTTCCGCCCGGGTCAAGGGAGGGATCGCAGGACAGTCGTGACCCGCCACCAGGCGGTGGATAGTGTGCATCGTGTGTCTCTGCGTCAACTCTAGGTGGCGGTGTGACCGGCCCTACAACAAACAATCGCAAGCGTCAAATCAAGGCGGTGGTTCAAAGCACATACTGAATAAATGGGTACATCTGTTGAATAAGTAAGCAAATAAATGTTACCAACAATTTCATTTAGGAATATCGTATCAAATTCACCATGTACAATTCAAAAATTGGTAATTTAATTTTGCACTGCGTTTCCTTTAGAGCCAAGCTGAATTCCATAGCTTACACAAGGTATTTTCATACCTTCTACTAATGTAACTTATTTCATTATTAATTCCTGGTGATATTAGCACTATTGAATGGCCAAATATTTTACTTTTAGTTGAACAATATATTTTACTTTTGTTATTAACATTTCTAAAAGTAGTTTACAGTAGACTCCCTCTTATCCGGACTCCTCGGGACCGAGGCCAGTCCGGAAAACGGGTTTTCCAGTTAAACCGACGTCCCCAAATCTCGTTAAAACGGACTGTTTACTGTGATATTCGACTTAAATTTAGGAGAGCATTGTATTTAGACACGTGATCACTGGTCTTAAATTTTTTTCACAAGAATAGATGTTTCAGTACTGCCCACTTCCTGCCGATCTAGTACGGTTAAACCAATGTGCCGATAAAAATTTTCCGGTTAAAGAGATGTCATTTCCGCCGAGTTCAGTCCGGTTAAACCGATGTCCGGTTAAGAGGGAGTCTACTGTATGAGAATAAAAATAAATGAAAAATAAAAATATGTTAATTGATTGAGCTTACATGATTTCATGAGTTGTGTAGAGAAACCATGGATAACTGACTATTTCAGACTACTATAAATATCAATATTGATCGAGTAGTAAAACGGTTCATATAGCTTGTGTTTAAAAATCCAAAGCTTGCAGGTTCGTTATTAAGACAGGTCAATTCAGATCCCAAGACATTTTTCTTCCAGTTATCAATAATAACTAACAAGTCAACCTTAGATGGCCGCAAGATATGTAGATATTTGTAGGATGAGGAGCAGAAACTGCTTTAACATTCATTTCAGAAATCAACTATGAAAGAGGATTTAAACATATTATTTGGATCAACAACTTTATAATCAATGCTTGTTACCTGAACATGAAGGCTGTGGCGGGCGGCTGATGAGAAGCTTCTCTGACACAGTAGGCAGTGGTGAAGCTCCCTGCGGCGTGCGTGTCTGTACGCATTGTGACGAGTCAGCTCTTCCTGCAACAACAGGTTAGAGTTTGACAAACATGTTCTACAAATGTAAATAAAATGTTTGAAAACCAACACTTGAACACTTAGGGAATGTGTAAAAAGCGGTGTTTTTAAATTAGATACTACTTGTTTTTAGACAATTGCACCGTTTAATTTTACTACTACATGATAATGATACAAAGATCCATTATTATTACTTGCAAGACAGCAATGTCATTTAAGTGTGAATTTTAAGCTGAATATTAATACAAGGTTGGTGTAGAATGGAGTGAGGTGAACTGTGTAGCTATGACTAAGACAAACCTTTTCTTTACCCAGGACTATTTTATTACGCCCAATGATCCAGAATAACTGGGTCTAGTTCTATTTAATTGCAGCCTGGTTGTTTTATGATTCTAATCCAGTATCAAATAAAAATCTCAAATTTTTTAACGTAATACAATTAGAATATGAGCATCCTATTCCAAATGTTACATAACATAGTCAAACGTTTGCTGGCAACATCTGGCATTACTCATTTCAAAATTTCCGTGTCACAGTGCAAAATAATAAATATAAATTACCTCTAATACTGATATTTTCTCCAGGCAATGAATCAAGAATTCACATTGTATCAAAGTTAAATACATAGTTTATTTGTTACATAGACCAAAAACGTGTTTCAATTAATGCTAAAAGATTTTAAGGGACACAACGACCAGTATTTTGTCCATAAATTCTAAAAATCAGCAAACTTCAAATGAAGAATTTGTGGGAAACAGCTAATGTATAAGAGCGATTTAGACAACCCGGGATAGAGCGATGGTAACATTAAAAACGTAACAAAATGCTAATGACATAAAAAAACAAAACAAATTTTAGGGATTGGAATTTCAGTCTTGCAATATTGTACATTTTGAGCAGTTGAGTAGAACACTGACAAATAGAAAAAAGCAGACTTGACAGTTTGATTATATGTCATATGTATCATATATCATAATGCTGATTACTGTCATTTACCATGTTTTGGTATCTGGTATTGATACCAGATATCTCTTATCAGTTTTTACATGTTTCCAAAATAACAAATGCTGTTGAAGACTGGAATAGTTCAATGGGTTATTTTTGAGACTGGATGGAAAGGTATTGCAATATCATCTTTATTAGTTGGATATGATGTTTACAGATATAGGCGTATTTAAATAATTCAAATGCCCTTAGTCATTCATCTAGAGATGTTAGATTTTATATTAGTTTTAAGTGTTAATTTAGCTAAGTTGATCACTCACACAAGAAGTTTAATAGTTTAAAATAGGTCAAGAACAATTACTAATGAATACAAACACTTTAAGAAGCGAAATGCTTATGGAGAATAGTCAAACTGGAATTATGCCGCCGAAATTAGCTTTGCGCGGCCGCCACTACGATCGGCCGTGCGGCAGCCACGCTACTCTATCTCTCTCTTGCTCTAAGCCGATTCTTTGTCTCACTCTCTCGCGATAGTCCACCTAGCGGCCGCTGTGGGAACTATCCAAAATTCAAATATTTACGGACTGAATTTTTTACAAAGGCATTGCGCTTCTTATAAGTTTTGTATTCATTGCAACTACACTAGCCTAGTGGTTTCAAAAATCAGAAAAAAATATTAAAACATGTGATGTTACTGAGTGAAATACAGTAAAAAAAAAAAAAAAATATTTCCGCTCCTATGTTAAACCTAGATGAAAAGTTAAAAGAAATTGATGAACCACATTATTCTAAGCAGCAAGCAAAAATAATTATCCTGTGAAACAACACAGGTTTAGATTTATTCCTATTTAAAAGCAAACTTACATTGCAAAACATCCAACACATATTTTTCATCCAAAATCAAATTTAATACCAAGATAAGCCTGTAACTGATACTATACTGTAACTGTAAAATACATCACAAGATCTCAAACATCTTTTGTAAATTTACAATTGCTGGAAGGTGATGATGTTGAAGTTTTGTAAAGAATATTATTTGGTAGTAAGTAGCAAGAAATGTGCTTGCAAAGTGGCAAATAGAACGTGTTGTAACAGGTGTTCCGTTATATGCACAACATGTCTGCAAATATACAATTGTCATGACATCAACATCAATTTAATTTTTACAGCTTAGCTTACACCACATTCACAATTCTTTTGAAATTTGTAAGAGAAGCAGTAAAGGAGTAGAAATCGTGAGTAAGTCTAAATTTATAAATCACAATTATTAGTATAACAAGACCAAACAAAGATGCATTAAGAAATTTAAAAAATAAAGCCCAATTTGTAATAATTTATTAAAGCTTAGTTTGAAATGGCAATACCTCATAATGCCGATATCTGTTTACCTTTGATGAAGAAAGACTTTCTATTATCAATTATCATCTAATGCAAAATAAAACTATGTAAAAAAATATAATATTTATTATTTACCTTATTCTTAAAAGTGACATCACAGTCCCGGCAGGTGGTGGAAAGATTCCTGGTCCGTCTCCGTTTGGTATCTTCTCTGAAGTGGCCCTTTCCAGGCCTCTTCAAGCCTCGACCACAATTCCTCAAAGTGCTTTTATCTTCAGACTTATCAGGTAAAGACGAACCTGGGTTTTCATTTAACCTTATGGGTGAAGAATGTTCTAAATCATAAACACAATTCAAACGAGAGGTATCACAGGTAACAGACAAATCACTTTGATTATCTCCACTTAAGTAGTTATTCCGACGGTTAATTTCATTTTGAGCAAGAGAGGAGGGGATAGTTGTATTTTCTACGACAGTTTCAGTTTCTGAAGGAGCACTTGTAACTACGAGGTCTTGAGAAGATGTATCACTGCCCACAGCTGTGTTTCTATTTCGCCTTATTTTTTTCCTGACAAAGAAATTTTTGGGCATTTTTCTCCTGGTTTTCTTTGTTTGGTCGTAGTGGAATTCTCTTGACGATTCAGTGTTGTTGACTTCACAAGATGAGTTTGAGGAGTTGGAAAAAACTGAAGACTTGTAATCCAGAGGTGTGCTTGGTGATTCGTCTTCTGAATTCATAAATTTTGAAGGTGGTGGGTCAATTGTTTCAGATACATCTTCTGAATTCATAAGTTTTGAAGATGACGGGTCAATTGTTTCAGATAAACAATCATCAGGGGATTTTCTTCCAGTTGGTGACTCAACAACAGTTTCAAATTCATCTCTATGGGGAAGGATTTCAACTTCAATTAGTGGCTTTGAAATGTCAGTAGTGTTACTTTCCTTGTTCAAATTATCCGTGTCACAACTGTCTGAATGATTGCTATCTACAATTTTGCTCTCCTCAGTAACCTGATCCAGAATGTTGGTTGATGATTTCTCGTCAATAAAAACATCATCATCACCATTTTCAAGGTTTGATGACACTTTATCAACACTTTCTGGGTTGGAATTCATATCAGAATCTGGATACACTTCTCCAGGACTGAAATGAGGATTACTTGGACTATAGATCTTCTCATTTGCCAACGAGTTGCTACAGCCAGTGGGTGAATACTTCTCATATGGCACCCTATCATTTTCATTTGTTTCATAGAATTTGTTTAAACAATATTTCTTTGAAGAGTTTGATATTAAATTATTATCAAACGAATCACTAAATGGTGAACTTTCCCTTGACATGGAGCATGGATTGCCATCACTCACATCAGTATCAGAGTGTTCTGAGGATTCTTCATCTTTACTTTCATCACTGGAACTTGACTGTGAATTGGAAAGAGATGTGAATGTTTGTGATTGGAGTCTTGAGGTCAACTCGTCTAACTCTTTATTTCTTTTCAACACAACAATCGGTTGCCAGTTTTCATTTTGTGATATATTTTCAGTCAGATAAGAGTCAACACTCAACGTTGATTTCCCATCACTGTGTTCAACAGACAATTTCCTATTTTCATTTTCTTCTTCACTATCTTTTTCTGAATAACTACTGCTGCTATTGTCTGACTCTCTCTGCAGAATAAGACGGCTGACTTTGACAACTGGCGAAGAATTCTCATGATAGTCACTGATAACTTTCCATTCAGCTGATGGCGCTTTTAATCTAACTTCAACATTGGCTGGTCCCAATTCCAAACCAGATTTTTTTGAAGCCTTAGTTTTCTTCTTGTTTTTCTTTTCTTGTTTTTGTGAAATATTCTTGGATATATTAAATATTTTTTTCCAAGGTAAGCTACATTTAAGTTCAATTTTTCTTCCTTCTTCGGGGATTTTATTAGGAAATTCAGATCTATCGTCAAACTCTGCTACCTCCTCTTCCACAAAAGGCCAGTTCCCAATATCATTAATGAGGTTTTCATTAATTTCTTCATAGCAGTTAGTAGTAAGAAGTTCTTCACTTCTTCCGTACAAAAGTTTAGATTTCAGTTCATTTTCACAAGCATTTTTCAATCCAATGTCAGGTGGACATATACAAGATTCATTGACTGATAGTTCGGTTGTCAAAACATCAGCACAATCAGCATCCCTGACTGATCCCAACATTACATCTGACTCACTTTTGCCATTATCAAATTGCATTTTACCAGCGTTTTCATCTAAATCCTCAATGATGATGACTAAACTTGTGCTATTATCCAAAGACACATTTGGTATTTCACTTTCAATACCATCCGTACTTTCTTTAAACAACGAATGATTGGTATCTGAGAGGATCCCTAATCCACCAACATAATCATCAATCTTTTCGGAGTCAACATGTACACAAAATATATTTCCTTGAGCTGTTGTATCTTCGTTAGCTATCAACAGAGGACCACCAAAATTATTTTTTGATTCATCATCTGTCAAATGACTACTATCGTTTGTCAATTGAGAACTCGTTTTGTAATCTGAAGTATTATTTGAACAGTTCATAGTGTTGGTTCCTGTGTTCAGACAAGGCTCGATATTTTCACAATGATTTTGTAAGCTGTCTTCTCTATTGTAATCATTTTGTATTGATTCATCATAGTGGTGGGTATTTGAATCAACTTCAGTAGCATCCTGAGTGATTGGTTCAGGTAAAACATCTGAAGTTTTTGGTTTATCTTTTGTATTTCGTTTACGCCTTTTAGTGCGGGGATAGGCGAACACACTTTTTCGCTTTTTAGATTTAATTTTGTCATTTACAACTGTATCGGTTTCTCTCTGTTTCATCTCATGTGTAGCACAAGAGGATTTCACAGATTTAAAACGATATTTTCTTTTTGGGTAGGGAATAATATTACAGCTACTTGATGTTACGATTCTAGTCGAATCCCTCAAGTTGTAGTGAGTCTCTTCAAATTTTGAAAACGAGTCTCCATCAACTATAGAGTGATTATTTTTTATCTTTTTTCTGTCAAGAATTTCATCAGCAGTATTAGTTTTTGTTGAATAATCGAGAGATTCATGAGATGGGCTCTCACTAAGAGGTGATTCCACAAAGCCTTCATCTGACTGAGAATAAAGTCCTGGAAAATTGGAATTATTAAGTAACATTTGTTTTGAACCAACATGTTCTAGAGCAAGGGCAGCTTCAACTAAACACTGTAATGGGAAAGTTTCCTTGTTTAAATGTTGATTGTTTCTTAATGAATCGTGGACAGAAGTAATCTTTTCATTTTGACTCTGTGTTATGTTATGTGTCTGATCATCGTCAACACCATCATCAAATGACATGTCACTGTTGTAAGTTTCTTTGTGGCTTACACTGTTGTTTAGAGCTTCATCATCTTGATCATCTACTGGTTGAGTTGTCGAGAACAAAACATCCTTTCCAGTAACTAGCAAAGTTGCATTAGTATCTTCGTTTGGCGCAACCTTTGTTGAAATGTCATTGGTGTTGGAATCATTACAAGACACGTTATCACTGGTCATATCTGTACAACTAATTGTAGATTCGTTGGATACATCCTCATGGTTAGGAGAAAGTATATCTCTATCTTGACATAAAAAGGAGTTTTCTTCTGGTGACATTGGATGGCTTTCATTATTCAAAGGGCTATTCTGTACTGTTCGCAACAGATTTAAATCTTCAGAAGATGAGGTTGATTGGTTTTCTTCTGTCTTTCCTTTCGATTTTTGGTCATGAGCAGATTCTTCAATGCTTCTGTTCAATAGGTAATTAAAGTTGTTCAATTTTGTAGAAAGAAAGCTGGGTTGATTATCATTTGATTCAGTTTCTGGCAAAGCTGGTTTCTGAAGAGCTGGTTTACTATTCTCTCTTAAGTTCTCTTTAAAAGAATCATCCATTTCACTTGGAGAATCAACAAACATTTTGTTTTTATGAGGTTGCAATTCAATAGATGAGGACACACTTATTTCATTTTGCTCTGATTGAGCAATCTCTGTTTTGCTGGGTGGAGAATACACCCCACTATTTTGATTGCTTACTTCTTGAACTGATGATTCAGAAAAACCTTTAAAATTGGTGGAGTCGTTCACTGAAGAACTGAGATCATCATTAGTGTCAACATTTTCACAGTACTGAAGTTTAGAGTTTTCTGGTTTGTGCTGATTGAAGATTCCTGGATAAGCATTTTCTTTACTTTCAGTATAATCACTTTCAGGTTCCGGAGAAAAGATTTCTCTTAAAACTGCTTCTCTTTCTAATATTTTTAGTGAGTCTCTTCTTAAAAAAACTGATTCTTTTTGGTTAAAAAAACAAACTTTGTCCTTCAAAGGGGTTGAACCATCTTCTTCTTCATTTTCATTAGGAGTTTCACCTCCTACTTTCAGAGTGGACCTACTCTCAACTGGAACAACTGAATTTATGTCTCCTGACTTGCATAATTTTAAATTTACATTTTTTGGTTTTACTGTTTTTTCTTTGGAAAGTTTTCGCTTTAAGTTGTATTTTGTAGGTAACTCATCCTTAACTTCAGAGCTAGAGCACAAGGGATCATCAGGTGAAGCAAGCGGTTCTGTCGATTCATGATCACTACAGTCACTAGCTGCACTTTCAATTGCACATGAATTTTCATTTAGCATAGGCCTCATTGGAATTTTACACAGACGAGTAACTGAGGCTATTTCCTTTGTTTCTTGATGCCCAGATTTGAAGGTTTGAGTTCCCTCTACATTTTCTTTTTCGGAACATAATTTATGAAACCTTTGCCATTTTCTTGTTTTAAAGTCATGGAAATAACTAAATCCATTGGTTTTTATGCATGAGATGGGTTCTTCTGCATAAACATATATACACTCGCTAGCACAATAAGAATCTTTCTTGTGAAAATTATTGCAAATAGCTTTTTCTGTTGATAAATCTAAGGGAAGTAGATTTCTTGATGTTATCACTGATGTTTTGCTATGAATCGAAGGCAGTATTGGGGTTTGGAACATTCTATCACCATTTTTAAAACCAGATAAGCATTTTTCTACTGTTGCCGTCTGCTCTGTTGAATTCATTTCGCTCTCCAAACTCATTGGAGAACTGGCTTCTTCCACAGAAAACATACCTTTACAGATGTTCATTGCTTCATTTTTTAAAGGATTTTCCAAAAAATGTTGTCTTTGGTCTATGTTTTTTGTGACAGCATAATTTATTACCTCATTTATAATATTTCTGACGTTCACAACTGATTCTGAGTAGTTTCTGAATGATCCTTGATAGTGGGGATGACTATTTTGGAAAAGCTCATGATCATTTTTCGAAGAAAAGTAATTAAATGTTTCATTCCTTACTATTACAGAAGTTTCAAGTCGAGATTCTTTGTCTTCAACTGTATTTTCTTCATCGGATCTTTTAATGTCCTTTTCAATACTACACAATACTCCAGTGTTACTTTCATTAGCAGTTGATGGAAGGACGTCTTTACTTTTGCATGGTTTCTCCAAATTATTAGAATTGTCATTTTCAATTAATGGTGTTAGTTTATCAGTAAAATTGGTGGGCTCTTTGTTGTTAGAAGATTGTTTCAGATTTAGGGAATTTGCACACTCTGCTAATGGTGAAAGCTGATCTTCGAGGCCAGTTTCATTTTCTGATGATTCCTGAAGATAATGTAGGTTGTTTTCAGCCAAAACGTTAGAACATTCGGTATGATCACCTACTTCTTGGACAGATTTTACATTTGATAGTCCCATTAATTCAAGAGCATCATCTATTTCCGTGCTATGTTGGTCGGCAGCATGATTTTCAACTTTATTATTAACTAAATCTTCAATAGAAAATATTGCATTGCCTCCATTTTTTGAGATTTTGTTTTCATCAACTGAAGGAGTCTGGTCAGCATTACAACTTATTTCACATTTAGCACTCAAATCAACATCCATGTTTTCACTGTCATTTACCAAATCAAAACAGCCAATCTTGTTTGAATTACAAGGAGACTGCAAATCTCCAAAGTTCAGTAGGTTTTCCCCTTGACTAGACACAATTTGGGCAACCTCAATGGGTTCATCATCTTCCTTTCCATGATCCGACATAGGAGAAAATATAGACCTAGCTGGTCTCCTCAGATGAGCTACAATATTGTTTGCAGACGGGACTAGTTTTATTACAGAATTAATTTGATAATATTTCTTTTCATTCTGGATGAAAAGCTCAGTTGTCTTCACAATACTTTCTTTTTCTTCTACAACCGGCGAAGATTCGTGTTCCATGACAGACTCAGAAGTACTTAAATTAAGGGCGCAACTACTTGTAGAATCCACTTCACAACTATCAGCATCAGAAGGATTTTCAGTGAATGGCGCAACATGAGCAACATTGTTTCTTACTGTTTTACATCGGTCTGTGATGGATTTTGAAATCAAATCGTTGATTATGTCTTTGGCAATCAAATTTGCTTCCTCAGTGATTACAGGAAAATGAGTTCCGTATTGATCAAACACTAAGGTTTTGCCCAGTGTAGTTTTAAGTCCACAATACAAGTTCAATTTTTCAAAAATCTTATTTTTTGGAAAATATTTTGTTATTGTACGACATTTGTTTTCGTTTTCTTCAGAAACTTTTTTGTTAATCAAAATAGCTTTTGAACATTGTGAGGATTGCTCCGTGAAAATGCTTTCTGCCAGAATAACACCGTTATGTATTGGAAGATGTGAGGTACATTCACTATTAGTTTCACTTGACAATAGTTGATTTATTTCTGAAAATGTCTGAGCCTCTCTAAAATAGTTTGCCGACGACCTTCTCTTTTCCTCATCTATAGCTTGAGCTAAATCCTTTTCAAGTTCATTAGCAGCATCGATATCAAGAGTTTCATGGCTTATATTTCTGGATCCATCTGAAAGTTTTTCTGTACAGTTATCCATTTGCTCATTTAAATTTTGATTTTTGTTTGCTATACACCACATTTTCTTTGATTCGTTCAATTTCAGCTTTAAGCTAATTGGTGGCATAGGAGGTGACTTTTTGGAATCATCTGATTTTCTGTCATTCAAATGGTCATCTGTTTTATTGAACACCTCATTGTTTGTATCTAGGATGTTTTTGAGACATTTTTTATCATTCATTTGAAGGATGGATCCATCTGCTCTCTCGCTTCTGTCAATATTATCAGAAAAAATTGTTGAAAATGACTGAAAATGTGTATCATGGGAGTTTATATTTGAATCTGACAAGTCTGGAAAATCACAAGTTTTAGTTTGGTATAGATTATTTACATTAGAGTGGTTTATGTCCTCAAACATTCCTTCTACACTTGGAGATGATGGCATTCGGTTGTTCAAGTCTTTGTTGTTTGAAGTATTTCTATCATCCATCTTGAAAAAATCATTTATCTGTGAGTTCATGTCACAATCTGAATACACGTGAAAAGGAGAATAGGTTTCCTTATGGTTTCCCATTTCCTGAGAGTGCAAAAACTCCTCACTAGGAGAAGGTAGGCATGTTGGGATTCTTGCAGGGAAGCTTTGAATTTTTTTGTGAGTTCTAAAGTTTTCATGTTTTGAAATATCTTCAGACATCAGTTCTAAATTAGAACTGGTACTGGTAATTAATTTTTCTGGATCAAAACTATTTTGGTTTTGGCCAATAGATCCATTAGGTTTGTCCAGTTGATTATCATGGCTATCATTTATGGACAGTTTGCAGCTTTGGTTGGATTCTATTTGATTTACATCACATTTATTTAATTTCATAGGTTGTACTATTGCCATTTGTGGTGGTTGAGCATTGTATTTATTACCTTTGTTAGAGTCATCCACATTGGAACTACATACCTTGTTTCCAACATCAGAAGGTTCATTAACTTTATTTTTAGAAAGGTTCTCTGCAAGAGAAGCGCAGTTTTCTTCTTCTCTAAAGTCATCTAAAGATGGCATGTTCAGGTTGCTACTTGTTAGAGGTGGATTCAAACAGTCTTTTTCCCCTGACACTTCACATCTTGGAGTGCTTTCTGAATCTCCTGTGTTGCTTTCAGTTGCAACTTGGGTTTTAGAATTAAGGAGGGCTTTGTTTTCAACTGCCCATTCCTTACTGTTAGGGAGCCTCTTCAATTTAAAACTGGTGGGTTTCTTTGCTTCGTCGTTTGTTGATTTGCTGGGAACTAGTACGTCTGGTTTAGATTTGTTTTTTCCATCTCCATTTTCTACTCTACTTATTTCTTCAGATAGTTCGACCAATGTTGAGTACTGTTGGACGTAGGGAACTTCTACTGTTATAGTGTTGCTTTTTGTTTGGTCGCCGGAATGAAGGGTCACCACATTGTCCTTGTGAGAAGATTCTTTTTCAGGAGGAAATGGAACCCTAAATATTTCAGGTGGTCCATTCTGAGAGGTTATTAGTACAGTCTTTTCTGCAGGGTTTTGATTTTCATTGTTTATGACGTCCATTCTTTCTCTAATTGAATGGTTCTTATCTGAATATAGTTTATCTCTGCCAATTAGATCTGATTTTTTAACCATTAATGGAGGCATGAAGGTATTAGGATCTCCGTTGGGAAATTCACAGTGAACCTTTTCTTGGTAACAATCATTGAGTTGTGCTTTACGGACTGGATCTAAAAATGCACTTTCAGCAGCTTTGTCCAGTTCTTGATGAAATAACCTCCTCGGATCTTTAGTTAAGTCTTTATTTGAATACAATCTGGCAGGGTCAAAATCCGAAGTGAGTTTATGATAATCATAGTTTGGATCCAGGATTTGAGTGTTGTCATACGGTAGGTACTTGTTTGGGTTTATCGGGTGTTTAAAATTATAATAAGGATCTGGATGTACTGGAGGCTTGTAATGTTGGAAGTTACCTGCAGAGTATCTCGGTGTAACTTTATTGTATATTGAGGGGTTGTTTCCCATTTGTGATTGCTGAAGCCTTGGATCGCAAGGTCGAGTCATTGCAGGTGGAACTTGATGACTATTCACAGCTGACTTGTCTGTGTTATTAACTAGTCTTTCAGTCATTTCTACAAAATCATAGGCACCATCACTGATTCGCCTGGTATCTCCGTAGTAAGAAACAAGGTTATCAAAGGACATACTGCCAGTTTCAGTACTGGGAACTTTGTTTGTTGGCAACTCACTGTGTGTCTGAGGATCATTTTTGCTATGTTCTACATTATTATCTCTTTTTGAGCAATCTAACGGTTGAAATGCACTATTCTTTCCAGATATCCCTTCACCATCTCTCTCGGCCCCATTCCAAAAACTGACTCCTTTGTCATTGTCATTTAGAAGGTTTGGCATTGAAGGTGCAAATGAGGGTTGATTTTGAAATTCTGCTGACAAAGTAGAATTCTCAGGATTTTCATTTGATCTATTTGATTCATCAATACGTTTTCGTTCATTACTAGGACTACTACTTCTAGATTTTGAGCTACAGTTTTGGGAGGTTTTGAATCTTTCTTGTATTTTGGCAGCAGCCTCACCTTCAAGTGATCTGCAGTCAACCACAATATAAGGTGCTCCACTGTTTCCTAAAGCCAAAGGTTCTGACAACCTCGTTCCTTCTTCCTCGTCATCCTCCCATGTGGCTAAATATTGGCGAAGGTCCAAGTCTGGTCTTTTCTTCCCCAATGAAGAATCATATTGAAGGTTCGCCTTGCGTGAGTCAGAAATGGACTGCCCGTCGTCTAACCCAGCTCTAATATACGGATCTCCAGTGGGAAGAGCGAAATTCATAGAGTAACTGAGTTCATTAATGGGGTTGCTACAATTCATCATACTTCTGTCACTCCCTTGCATGGCATACTGCATTTGGTGGGGATGATACTGCTTGTCACTCGGTATTTTACAAGAGGTGCCATTTTGTGAAACACCTGTTCCTTGAATCTTATTGACCTCACCGAAAGGTACAAAACCTCCTGGGTACCCAAACTCGTAACAACTTTGCAGGTTCGGATCCAAAACGGACCTTTTCGGTTCCGGGACAGGTCTAATTATCTCAGACCCACCACTAGAACCGACCGTTCTGTGGCGTTGAGTACCTAACGACTTCTGTGTTGCGTCCATGTAGTGAGGATCTGTCATCTTCAGTCCCGCTTGAAGCTGAGCTCCTTGACTGACAGACTGATGGTAAGGTGGTGGGGGACAGTTCATCCTGGGACCGTAGCTCCTAGTACTGCCCCAGTACGGTGGATACATGGGATACTGAGACCTCATCATCTGCTGCATCTGCTGCCTACTGTCGGGCATGAACTGACCACGACTCATGAACTGGGAATAATGCCTGTCTGGAATGCCTGCAAAACTGTTATCAGTGGGATAAGCCTTCTTCCTTGACAGAGTCGGTTGCATAGACCTCCTGTCTGTGAAGTACTGCCTCGAGTCATCATATCTGGGTTGTGTCGGCTGATACCTCAATGGAGCCGGGTTGAGGGGATATCTGTCTTGGAAGTGTTGGCAGCATGCTTCTTGACATTTGACCATGGGGGTGGGTACCGGCTGGTGAGGGTACTGGGGGTAGTTGGCATGCTTGGTACTTCCATCGTACGGCCCCATGAACATTGCCTGCTCTCCACTACCGTAGTACATCCCCTCTAGCTGGGAGTTGTAGCTACTCCAGGTTGAGCCGATGTTATGCTGCTTGGCAGCTCCCTCTGTTGTTCGTGATGTTTGCCCATGGTTGCTGTTGAATCCACCCCCACTCTCTGCATAGTTGTTTAACATTTCGCCCTTTGTTCTTCATTAACTGCAACAAAAGAGATGAATATTAATTAGAGTTGATTAATATTTTGGTAGAGGTTATTAGTCGATTGAATTAAAGTTAATAAAATTTTTCTGGAACATTTTTCACACACTGAAAGACAATCTCACTGAAAAGGTAAAAAAGCCTCATTATTGTTTACTTACTGTGAAAATAATTGTAAACTGAACATGAAAATATCTGTGACTAAGTACAAGTAATCTTAAAACTAGATTTTGATCAATTTTCATTTTAAACAGCTGGCCTGACAGAAGTCGTCATATGGTTTTATGTCAAACGCTTGTTCACATCGCTCAATCACGTCCTGGTTTTGAGTGTTATAAGACGTTTCTTTTATTTACTTTCCGTGCAATTTTTTTCAGTATCTACTTATTTTATTTTTAACAATAAAAATAACCTATCTCTTTCTAAACAAAACCGCTAAGAGTGATGAAAAAATGATTGTTTTTTTTTCATTTTAATGTCATATGAAAGAAAGTTTTAGCTTATTATGATGTCTAGTTTACCAAGAACATTCATAAACTAATAAACTGTTTAGGTGAAATTTTATAACAAATCTGTAAAATTGTAATTTGCTAAATATTTTTTTTACAAAAAAGGGCTTAAGTTTCTCAAAGTCTAATGGGGAAAACCTGTTGCAACAAAAAAATAAAATGTACTGCAGTTTTTAAACAGTTTCGTAGTAAAGGGAAATCTAGGTACGTTTTTTAACCAAGCATCCATTACAAATAAATAAGGGATATTTAGATTTATGCCATGTTAATCTTTCATGACAGTAACTTTGATTAAATGTTTAAAGTCTAAAACTAAAAAGGGATATGCCATTAAAAATATTCATCCCTAACAAGCAATCTATAACAATCAATTTATTCTTCAAAAGGATAATATAGGAACATTATCTATTATTTATTTTTCTTCCCCATAAGAATATTCAACTTTGGTCCTACCATATAACATATTATTTACTCAATAATTTAAGAATAAATGGTATGCATTCATACGCAATGTCTTTTTAAACAATCTTTTTAAACTTTCGTCAATTACTGTAGGCAGGTTTACAGTTGTTCATTATTTACTCAATAATTTAAGAATAAATGGTATGCATTCATATGCAATGTCTTTTTAAACAATCTTTTTAAACTTTCGTCAATTACTGAAGACAGGTTTACAGTTGTTCAATAAACTTGACAAACATTTACCATGGCAGCATCAATTATTACCTGTGCTGAATTAGTTAAAGTCAATTAATTGAGATGACTATCAGTTATCTAACGTATGATCAACTCCACCCACTGACTGCATGTCACAGAATAGTTGGTGTCAATCGCACAGACGCGTCCTGTTGAGGTAAAAACTTCAACAGACTTTATAAATATTCATCTGCAGCTTGTACAGGTTTACCAAAAACTGTATGAATTTGCTTTGGAAAGTTTATTGTTAAAGCTTTGACTATCGATGCACCTACATTCCATTCTCATCTTCAAGTTGTCATGTTTTTTTTTTTATAGTTTCGTCATAGTTGATGTAAGCCACTGACAGATTGCCCTAATGTAAATTACTAAGTCAAATACACACACATTTTTACCAAGTCAAACTGATTAAACGACTTATTGTGAGCTATAGCAACTGTTATGACCTAATATATACATAAGAAAAAAAGGTTAAAATAGAATTTTAGACACTAGCACATTCTGTGACTGGCTCAAACAAAAATTTTCTTTGTTGATAAAAATTGCAATACAGATGGGATGACTACATCAGTATCCAATAGCTAGGGTCAAAGATTTTAAATTAAGTTTAAAGATAGATCAAGCTTTTTGTTTCATAGGACCAAGGCCACAATATAAACATGTTCATATTAATTGACTTTATGACTCTTATATCGTTTTTTTTTAGATCAACAATAAGTGTTATGTGCTTGATTTAAGGGGCAACTCACAAAACACCAACCATCTGGTCTTTTCCCGTGAGCTTCTCTGACAAACCTTTACAGACCGTTGAGCTATTGGTTGCACAGCTTACCTAGCCATGGAACTTGAACCCACAAACTATGGTGATGTCTTCAGGTTTGACACCGCTCTGTCATTCATCGGACATAGCATTATATAGTCTACCACACAAACACTAGTCTAAGAAAAAAAGTTAACAGAGGAAACACGCCTATGGGACAACTGTACGCTTTCAGATACTTGTGAGCCCGAGCCCTTACGGATGGAAATTCCTATCGCACAGGACCCAGGGTCTTCCTCAACCGTAACCGTTGTAGACCATGATAGCGAGGAGGTGGTGTTGGACTTTGCCCTAGACACTACTGCTAAACACCACTTAAGTGTACTTTTGCTTGTTTTTTCTGTACCTTAACACGTTCGCTGCAAAAATTCCTTTGGCAGTGCGATCGGAAATGTGACGCAGCCTCGGCGCGCCAGTGAATCAGCGAACGCAATAGCATTAAAATATTTCAGTCTTGACAGTGGCAAAACAGCGGTGGTGATGGTGCTGTGTTACCCCGAGAGTGGACGTAAGTTCACTGAAAAACTCACAGATAGCAGCACTGCCTGGATCCGTAGCCAGTGTCTTTGTAATGTGGCTCGAAGAGAAAAAGTAGAGAAAAAGAAGAGAGTAAAGTATAGGACCAGCACAACATGCTGACATAGTTTAGTTGATCCCCGATAAATGCGGAGGTCACAATAGACCAACTTGTATAACACTGCACCGTGACTCAGACTGGAGTCGTACGCACGCTGTGCCAGTACAGCATGACTCCGATCGGAGTTATCAGCAGCGAACGTGTCAATAATTCTCTGTGCATTAGTCAACTAAAAGCACAAGCATAGTAACCCTAAACCTCTAGCCTACCTACTGTCAGTGCTGAGGTAACTCCAAGCCCATCTTAGTTTCCATGTTATAGTCGACATTAGATAATGTAGCTTTCTACTGGTTTTGTTGAGTTAATACTTCTGTAGCATCAGCAGCTGTATATCCTTATTTTATTTTAACATGTATTTTGCAACAGATTAAACAGGTTATTGTTAACATTTTTTTGTTTTGATTCTATTGGGATGTTTCATAGACTAACCAACACAAGTAGACTTCTCATCCCATTGTAAATTTTGAAGCACGTTTTTCGTGTCTAGTTCATGTAAGTGACATAAAGGCGCTAGTGTCGATGAAACTTTGTTTCCGTTATTTTAGGGTTAATTTCTTGATTTGTGCTTTACTGTTTGGTTATATAACTAGGGGACAAGTTATTGTTTATGATTAGATCTTATTATTTGGTTAAACGAGGTTTTAAATGGCTGTAATAACGGGAAACAAATTGTAAACAAAACACGACCTCTACATAAACCGTACATGAACTAACAATAAAATTGTCTTCAGCTGTTCCATAAGGATGAGAAATCTACTAAGGGAGTATGTTTTATCTATGGATGTTTTGATTCATCATTCTTTGACAGTAAAAAGTTTTCATTATATTCTTAGTTTAGATAGCAGTGTTTATTATTTTATGCAGATATAACATCACTGTATTCTGGTGATCCCGAACTTCAACAACAACAAGAACAATATTCCTTTCTCAATAATTACCAATATTGCTAGAAGAAATGTAAGCTCAGTTTGCAAATCAATGAGAGCAACAATGAACTTTCTACCAACGTTAAGCAATGCAACGACTCTGGTAACATATCCGTTCATCGAGTTGCAGTAAAGCTTCTAAAGTAGATGTATATTAGAGATATGGTGTACAAAAGTGACTGTTTCTATTGTGATGGAAAAACAGGAATTTATTTTATTTGAAGCTCAGCTTAGTGCATTTGAAAAGTTGTTTTGTTAATTTGGAATGCAAAAATTAAGTACAGCAATCCCAACCTTGACTACCAAGTCATAAAATATGTCAGTTACAGTATAGCTTCCAGCAATTTTTTTTTAGCTAGCAAGTGTAAGTTTTGTCTTTGACTATCAATACAACGTTTTATTATGTTAAACTTGTGTTTGATATATTGTTCATTGAAGCTCAGAGGGTTACTAGTTAGGTACTATAGTTGCTCATTTAAATGATATTCATGCGAATGATGAATTTATTTACAAAAAAAAACTTGATCAACAAATTTTTTACACAAGTAATTATAGCTCATATTTTTTAAAGCATCAATCAAAACTTAATTTGTGTCAACTTTAATCAATGTTTAAACACATAAAGCACAATTTGTATCATGCATGAACAAATTCTATAAAAAAATCTTTTGGCAGAATATGAAAATTTTAATTAGTACTATATAATGAAAAATTTGAAATGCTGCAGATTAACAAACAGCTACCTTTTGCTTTATAATTTCAAATTAAAAATACAGAACAAAAATAAATAAGAGATAAATGATATGTACAAGAACATTCAATATTAACACTCTTTTCTATCTAAATGGGATCAATAAATATTTCATTATCAGCGCCATTAATGTTCATGATCTCATGTTTTAGTTGTTTGAATTACTCAATAACAAAAGTTTTCAAATAAACTACCACAAGGTAGTGGACATAGTTCATAACACACTTTCTTAAATTTTGTTTATATTTTAACAGTATTCATGATTATATTCTCAAAATAGCCTATACCGTATACCTTAAAAGATACTTTAGTAATAATTATTAAGTTTCATTTTTCAAAATATTTAGTTTGCAGAATTTTTTAGTTACATCTCAAAAAATGTTTTAAACGACCCTAGCAGTATTGGTTTAGTCACTGGACACAAAAAAAAATAGTTTAAATAGGCCTAAATTGTCATTCTCTTCATGATTTGATAGTCAAATTTAGTTTATTTTATATTAAAGACTATCCTATAACGGTCTAAGAATATTTCTAAAATATATCCTAATCAAAGGCCACAACTCTTATTATGTATATGGCTATAAATTAATTATGCTACCTAAAAAAGGTCGACAGATAGTAACAAGACCATAAACACCAAAATAAATAAACATTGCTTTTA